TTTTTTTACATAATTTAAGTATTCTTACTCTTAATGCTCATGTTTTGACAGTATTTGTAGCATTGAACTAGAGGTGATACTATTTCAATATAAGTGACAATATTCTGGATATTTTATTGCCCATATGATTAATGCCTTGAGCAGATCAGTATACAGCCTTTCTGGAAAAAAGGACCAAATGCATCTTTGCAAATATGCTGAATCTTTTCCTAGTGGATAGTGTTGTTTTTTTAAATGAATATGTTGCAAATAATGTAGTTATGCCCTGTGGATACACAAAAGATTTATATTGGAGGGGATACGTGGCAAATATTTTGTATGAAAAAGAAAAGTACCATCTTTCCAGCAACATACAAGTCAGTTGTGTGCCAAGCTTAAACATCTCTTGTAAGGCTTTCATTCCGAATTAAACTGAATGTTGCGTAATATTTCTGCAGCCTATATTTCTAAATGAGGTTTTGGTAAAACTGCCTACGGATCCTTCTGGGGATGAGCCCATCTTCCACATCTCACATATTGATCGAGTCTACACACTTCGTGCAGAAAGTATAAATGAAAGGTAAAATACCATTGTATTAGCCCTGAAAATTACTGGACTTTGAACGTTCTCTTTTTTGTTCTATCATGCAAATGTGCCACATATACTTTGTTTCATTATCTCGTAGCATTGAGTGTTGTTAACATTTAACTTTGCATTCTCCCATTTTGATTTCACAGCAACTATATTTATATGCTTATATGCTCCGTAACAACTTTGGTCAGGACATAATTTTAATTGGGAATTAAGAAGCACAAAAAATGGAATAGACCTTGCTCTGCCTACATTGTCAATGCCTTCTGTTGTCATTTCTCATGGAGATCCTTCATATCACATCCAGTTTGGCTTTAAAACTTAGAGCTAAATTAGCTTCATGCTTCCATGCAATCAGATTTGCTTACCTGATACCCTTAATGACAATGGGTAACTTTGTTTCCACCTTCTCTTTCTGAAGGACAGCTTGGGTTCAGAAAATCAAAGCTGCTTCTGAACTTTACATAGAAACAGAGAAGAAGAAGAGGGAAAAGGCATACTTAGGTACTGCACTGGGGGTACAGTTTTAAGTTTTCCCCAAAATAACAGAAGAATATTATAATGAATCTTGCCTGTTCTTGCCACAGTCCGATCCCAAAGGGCAACAGGTATTGGAAGGTTAATGGTGAACATTGTTGAAGGTATTGAATTGAAGCCCTGCAGATCTCATGGTAAGAACATTATTCTTTTTTTCGCATAATGGCTGGGGGGGGGCGGGAAAGAGAGAGAAGAGCTTCTGAGGGGAGGGGAAGAGAGACAAGAGCTTCTGGGAATGCAAAAAAACATTGTCTACTCTAGAACTTTCTTCTAGGAATGTAGAGAAGAGTGCTAAAATGACAATAATGATACTAACAGGTGCTCAGTATCCTTTATGGCAGGGGTGTCAAACTGCCGGCCCGTGGGCCGGATGCATCATAGCGAAACCCCGCCCACCCCATTTGCTGGCAATGGCAAAAAAGTCAAGATACGTCGCGACACATCACGCGACCTTGCGAGTTTGACACCCCTGCTTTATGGGAAAGTTGTTCTGAAGAGTACAAGCGTGACAGAGGTCACCTCTTGGGGTATTTAATCTGCTTAATTTAAAAGAATTTGTCAGAAAAAAAATACAGCGTTTGTAAAATATCATTTGAATAATCTCATGTAGATTAGTATGTTGACCGTTATGGAACACAAGACAGGCAGCAATGGGAAACCACTTCTGTACTGTTGCCAAAACCCTGCATATATCCACGTATTTGTCATGAGATAAGCTTGAGAGCATCTTTATCTTTACCTATAGCTATCTAGACTAGTACAGCCTGTACAGTACAGATAATACAGATTACCTTAAATACAGATAGTCCTCGACTTACAACAGTTCATTTAGTGACCATTCAAAGTTACAACTGCACTAAAAAAAGGACTTATGACTGTTTTTCACACTTATGACCATTGCAGCATTCCCATAGTGACTTAATCAGAATTCAGACATTTGGCAACTGACTCATATTTATGACAGTTGCAGTGTCCCAGGGCCATGTTGTCACCTTTTGCAAGCTTCTGACAAGCAAAGTCAATGAGGAAGCCAGATTAACTTAACGACCGTGTTACTAACTTAGCCACAACGGTGATTCACTTAACATCCAAAGCAAGAGAAATTTGAGCTCAGTTGTGGTCATAAGCGGAGGACTACCTGTGATGTTAATAGCTTCCATATGTTTCATAAGTCAGTCTACCAATTTTTAGCAGTTTCAGGCAGACAGATAAGGTAAACTTTATTGGTTCTGCTTTGTCCCCTCTCCAAGGAAAAAAATGTCTCCTTGAAATTCACTGCCTGAACCATTTGGGTTTAATACTAGTAGTTAGTTAATATATGGATTGCAAGTGGTGAATCACATGTGACATGATTAACTTTGAATGATGCCATATTCATTTTACAGCATTCATGGACTCAAAAAGCCAGATAAATGTCGTTGTTTAAACACAAATGATATGAAAGAAATAAAAATGATGATGTCTTGTGAAAAGAATAGAACTAAATTACTAACTTCATGGATGCAAATATATAATCAGTGCTATACCATCTATGTGAATTCTTCTATTAGGAAAGAGTAACCCGTATTGTGAAGTGACGATGGGGTCACAGTGTCATATCACCAAGACTATACAGGACACTCTCAATCCCAAATGGAACTCTAACTGTCAGTTTTTTATCAAAGATTTGGAACAAGATGTGCTGTGCATAACAGTGTTTGAGAGAGATCAATTCTCTCCTGATGGTAAGTGGCACTTCTCATTTTTCAGCCTAGTTTTGTGCCCAAAACAGCTTTTCCAAACCTATATAGTCAGTGGGGGAGAGAAGTGTGTTGTTGTGGCAGTGTGCATGCATGGAAAGTCGCAGGTTTCTTATTCTTACAGCATGCTTTGACAATAATTGAAAGTACACTTTTAAATAGCAGGAATCTTCCAATGAGGATGCCGAGACAATACAAGTAGTTGCAACTGAAAAGGAAGTTAACTGGTCTACGTTCATGCATAGAGTTCTTTGCTTTGTGGCGTCTTCCTAGAAATAAAATATACAGAAGATGTGCTTGTTTTTCAGTTTGATCCCAATATTCCCATTAGTTATAATCACGTATGTTTCCTATTTCAGATTTCTTGGGTCGAACAGAAATTCGTGTGGCTGATATTAAGAAAGATCAAGGCTCAAAGGGACCAGTCACAAAGTGTCTTCTCCTGCATGAAGTCCCAACAGGAGAGATAGTTGTCCGACTTGATCTGCAGCTGTTTGATGAGCCTTAGAAAGGAAAATGTGAGAGGTTTCTAGGAAATAGCTCAGTCCATTTATAAGAGATAAATAACTTTCCCTGCAGATGTTATGGACACTTATTATATTAGCCAGATTAATTTATGACAATACTGAATTCCAAATTGTGAGGAAAATGTTACTTTTCATTTTATTTTTTGTTCTGGTGTTTTCTGTGGAATTTCTGCTGCAGTATTCAGGGTTTCTAGAATAACAGACCTTAGTCTGTGCTCTGACAAGGTGGAGAAAACATTGCACTTTTTTCCTGGTTCCTGCAGCATGCTGTGTCAAGAGGGTGTCCTCGTATGACTTTTTGGACTTTCTAATGATTTATCCTAGTGTTGTGCCTATTGCCCCTCAGAGTAGTATATAAACAAATTGTGAATATATTTATATAAAAATACTTATAACACGAATGCATTCTTGCCATGTAAGATATTTGGATTTTTTTTTTTTAGGTAGTTCATGATATTTGAATGTTTTTTTTTAAAAAAAAAAAAAGAGGAAAGAAAAAAATGTCGAAGTGACAGGTACCTGTAGCCTGGAATGTTTTCAAGAGCTGAGCTGAAGGCTGCTTTTTCATAGTATTTATTAAGCAGATATTTTATGGATTAAGAATAAATTGCTGGCCCAGGGTGCAGTAACTTAAAATCCTTTCCTTTAGCAGGCAAGACTCCTAAGTGGACCTGAAACCTGTATTTACCATAGGCGTTAGGTGTCTTTCACCAAACGGATTACTCTCTATCCATGCATCAGTGCTTCAGGTATTTGTATTTACTTGAGTTGTAAAGGATTTTTGATCCAATTAGCAAAGAGTCGCCCAGGTCCTGCAGTGTGTTTGGTGTATCTTGCAATAAAATTATTAAATTGCTGCAGGGGGATTAATCTAATGGTAAGGAAAGGTTGCTCTAGTTCACAAAAGCTGTTAACTTTCCATGAAGACAAGGCTAAAATATCCAGACAGGACATTTTATTATACTGCATTGTGCCTCAGTCAAATGAAATGATGCACCATGGTTTTGAAACTATGGTAACAATACATTGTAACTCATCAAGATAGTTGCAGATTTGCCCCTTTAAACATTGGATGTGCTGAGACTTTGCGAAGAGAGCGATCTCAGTCAAAGGAACCTGTTGCTATCCTGCAAATGTAAAGTTTCACCGACGTTCTGCAATTTCAAATAGGAAAAACTTGATTCAGCAGAGTGTTTAAAAATCATTTGAACAAAAGACTATTTGCATAAGTATTTGGATGAACTTGACACATTGACAGGAGAATTTGGGTCAGTGCAAGTGCATTTTCTTTCTATTTTCAATTATTCCATTTGATACCCAAGGATCATGCTTAAAAGGAGATTTTTGTAGATTTTCAGAATGAGAGATGTTGATGGTTCTGTTAGCACGTCAATGTTCTCGTGAGTTGTGTTGGCTTTGCTGTTCTTTGCATGTTGTTTTGGTATCAGTTTTCATGTTTCCTGTGGAGATGAATGTTATTTAGCACAGCAAATCTTTTATTATTTCCATTAGGAAATTAGAATAACTTTATACTTGATAGGTATATAATATCTAGTGATAAATGTAAATTGTGCTTGAAACTGTTTGTGTGTTATTATTTCCAAGGAAGCCACTGTATTCTTTTCAGCAGTCATTTTTTAAAAAAATCCTGTATGTTGGAGAAACAACAAAGTTTACATTTCATACTTTTAAGAATTGGTTTACTATTTATTTATTGAAAATAGTGTAGAATTTTGTATCAGAAATGACATACTTATGTATTTTTTGACCAGAGAAAAACACACTTTAGTTAGAAACTTTAAACTGACCAAGTTTTAGAGTAAGTTTAACTTAATAGGCATGCAGTTATTTAGCACTGACTGGTTGAAAACACAATGAAAAATCACTTGTTTTTATTTTTCAATGTTGTTTGAAATGTTTGAATTAAAATATGTAAATAGTACTAAGCCCACACTCTCCTTTTTTCTGTATCAGTACATTTTATTAAATATAATGTATATGAAAATAATACATTATGTAGAAAGTAAAAAAAGAAAATTCCTTCGTGCTGGAAAAATATTAAACGTCTTTGTTCTAACTTTCTTTGGCTATGCTTGAACTCAGAAGGGTATATTAACAAAGGTGGCTGTTGTTTTCTTTTCAGATTTAAAAAAAATCTTATTTACAGAAATCTTACTGGACAATAAAAAATAGCAGGTGCATTAGCTCCAGTGTCAAAGCGAATTAGCTGCATATTCTTAGAAAACGACAGGAGGCCCACAACTTGAAGAAGAGTAGCCATTCAAAGGATGTCAATAAGTAAAACTGCCAATAAAATTTTGCCAAGTTTGGATAAATCATTTATTTATCCATTTGAAAAGATCACAGACTTGAATGGAAAATTCAAATCTAAAGGGTATAATACATATTACGGATAGTGCAAAATTTAACTGACTTATAAAGCAAAATTCATCGTTCAGCATATAGTCTTTCTAGTTATTCACTTAGTACTATTAATGGTCCTAGAAAGATATACTCCTCTAGATCTGTCAACATTTGCACTCAACATCTTTCACCAACACGTAAATTCATATAATACAGTAGTATCTTGGTACTCAGCATTAATTGGTTTGGGGAGGTGTAATGTATACTAAAAAGGACGAGTGCCAAACCACTTGACTTACCATGTAATCCTTTGTTTTGGCCAGGAAGAACTGTCTATTCCTTTTTCTATGCCAGCGACCTTCCCAGCATGGCCAACTTCCTGTTCACCCTCTGTGGCCATCCCCCTCCTTTTGCAGCAACCTTCCCAGCATGGCTGACTTCCTGTCTGTTCCCCACAGCCATACTTTTCTTATAGCAGCAGGTTGAGTCCTAAACAAAGGCCAGGTACTGGGACATTTTCACATCAAAATACATAGAGTACCAAATTTGCTGAGTTTTGAAGCATCAAGTACCAAGGTACAATTGTACCTTCTTCAGAATGACTAAACAGAAGCTGTCTCCCACCTATCTTTTGCATTACTGAAGACCACTGTTAAGGTTGAATATGCCACTGCAGCTATGTACCTGACGTCTTTGACCAATTAACTGCTGTCAGCACCTTCCTGATGTCAGCTGATCTCAAAAGCAATACTTTCAACATGTGCTAAAAAACGTTTCAGTAGAAAAACTAAACACCCTGCCAAATATCTTTCTAAGTCCTCTTCTTGATTTAATTGAGCCATTTAATGTGAGATTGATTCATTTTGATTCTGGCCTCGAATCTACAATAATGCAATCCACTTAATATCAAATGCAATTCTGAATCCCCAAAGAGTTCCTCTTCCTTGGTCTATGACTAGACTTTTGGTTATTCCTCTGACAGTTCTAGTACTGCAGGCATTATGTGGTCATTGAGGAATTTACAAAGACCCAAATGGAATTTAATCTTGTAGTATACAGAATATATGCTTGAAATTAAACCCACTGAAATTCAGTGGAATTTGTTTTCAAGTATTGTTTAGAAGGCTATGACCTTCAGTGTAAGATGCAGGGAGCAATCTCTACCATTAATGGCTAGCAACTGGCCAAGTTTTGCATTAATAGGAAAGAGCCAAAAGACAGAGAAAGCAAAAAACAAAGACAACCAAAAACAGTAACCGTTAATCTGTTAGGGTTCCAGTCTATCAGGTTCACGAACATGATCCAAAAGTTAGACAAGATGTTTTGGGAGGGTAGGCTCTTCACCATCAGATGATAGTAGAAGAACGCAACACCAGTAGCACTAACTACATTTCCAATTTCACAGTTGGTGGTTCCCAGAAGCACCCTTTTGAAGGAAGAATTACGTTTTAAAATAGCAGCTACAATGGGCTGCATCTTAAGCAGGGCAAAGACATATATATTTATCAATATCATTGTACTATCAAATCTAATATAAAAGTACTATAAATACAACCAGCTATTTTAAGGATAAACAGTTTTATTGTTCTCATGATAGGCCTTACAGGTTTTTAATGAACATTCATAACTGGATGGACATTATATAACTTCTCTCATGATCCTGCTCAATTTTTCAATTTTGGTCTTTGTAGACATGTCAATGTATTTGTCTCCAAGGTTGACAATCATTCCACCCACGATTGATGGATCGGACTAGAAAAAAATGGCAAGATTATTTAGATAGGTTACTACCACAGTATATAATATTGCTGTGCTTGATGTTATATTTGAGAAATCACTACAATCAAATTTATGACAGAAAAGAGATGCCAAATAATCTTGACAGTTCTCAGAAATCTATAAAAATATTTGATTGAATGTTAGTGGTTTTTATCAGTATCAGAATCTGTCTGTCTACCTGCCAAAGATATTTCTTTGGAACTGGTTTCTTCCAATTATCTCTAAATGATCAAGAAGTAATTCCTTTGTGTCCTTCAGGTGAGGAATATCATTTCAGGGACCTTGAATTATGGGCCTTTTCAACTATTGGTGATTCTTCAGAACAACATTGACCCAGAAATCCAATATGGTGCCAACCTTACTGAGCTTTTGAAGGATCATTAAGACCACTTTTCCAGAGGTCTGGCTGTACAATTATTAATTTATTTTATAGAATAGGATATGATACACTGCTCAGACGGTGGTGACTGGAATGGCATATAACTCTTGTAAATAAATCAAAATAACTTGACTATGCAAGAGAGAAGAATTAGAATAGTTAGTATATGTATTTGATAGCGAATGATATAAATTATTATTTCTAGTTATTATTCTGTGAACAAGGTCTTAAAGCAACTTTCCCTAAGTTTGGGAATTCTGGAAGCTGAACTCTACACATCTGGAAGACACTTAAGTTGGAAAGATTAAGAAGTCCAACATCTAAAGCAAGCATGTCAAACTCGCGATGTCACGTGACATCGCATGACGTATCAGGACTTTTTCCCCATTGCCGGCAATGGGGTGGGTGCGGTTTCGGTGTGACGCATCTGGCCCGTGGGCTGGCAGTTTGACTTGCCTGATCTAAATAAATGTCAACATTCACAGGCCAAAGAAACAGTAATTAATTCTACTGTTAATTTAAGGTTGGTTACAAATGTGATTTTTTGCCACTTGTAAAAGTAGTTTGTTCCTATGGCCTAGTGTAAGACTCAATCATCCATTAATCAATTTGCATTAAGTTAGATTCGGAAAAGCAAAACATGGAAAAGATTTCAAGGACAGACGAAGGAATACTAATGAGGATAACAGAGTTAGCCCATCTTACTTTTAGATTAAAAAGAGGAAAGGGTTTTGCTTTAGAGAACATTTATGTAACTTGCATCAATACCTTAATTTCCAATTTTAGAGTTTCTCCTTTGGCTAGAAAACTATTCAAAGTTGTTTTCAATTCAGTAAGACTGGCCTCATCCAAGGT